GCATCTATTTGTGTGGTAATACGTGAGTGTGCGCCTGTGTGTCTGTGTGTTCATTTAGGTCTATTAATAAGTTGTGCCTTAACCTTTTAACCTATATAACCTTATTTTCAAATACATCTGAACACTTTTATGACGTCATCGCTTCAAATGATATGAACTGGTTTTTGCCATTTAAGCGTGAAATCTATTCACAATATAAAAACGAGGAGAGAGAGAGAGAGACTGAGATGAGGTGAATGTACACCATGCAATAGTTATCAGTGTAGAATGTTCCTTCTCTATTTAGGCAAATCAAACATTTATATGTATAAATATATTTAACAGTTATGAAAAGGAAAGTGTAAGCACAGATGTTTGGTAATCAATTTGAGATAACTGTAAGATAAGCAATTAAAGATTAAAATTATCCTTAAAATATTTATATATATCTTTAAGAGTTTGGTTTGTTAAGATTAGAATATGTTTTATCCGGTTTAACCACGGATTGATATCAGTTAGAGAATGATTGAAAACAAGCAGGGAGTACTGCTTCTTCAGCTTAGCATGGCAAGGGTTTGAACCCAGGAACTTAATGGTTACAAGGCTAGAGAGTTCGTAGACCAATGAGTCACTAGGACCCGACTCCTCACTGACCAGTCCATGAATTCTAACTTCTACCAATTCGTGATATTTAGCGCGACTGGCACCAATCAATGTCATCGGCAGGAAATCCATTCTCACACTTGACTAGATGGACGCCACTGGTTACGACTTCTCACTAGAACTTCAGGAAACTCGAACCCCATTGGGTGCGTACTGCCAGTGACTCCCGAACTAGACTGAAGAGACAGCTGTCCAGTACTCCCTTCAGGTTTTCCAATGGTCACACTCGTAAAACAAATCTAATCCTTACAAACCAATTCTTGAAAATTATTCTGATGCTCGCTAGTGACTTGCTACAGGATGGAGTTTCCTGGAGTTCTAGTGAGAAGTGGTGACCAGTGAGGTACATCCAGTCAAGTGTGAGGATGGATTTCCCACCGATGACATTGGTTGGTGTCAGTCACTTTAAATATCACGAATTGGTAGAAGTTTGAATTCATGAACTGGTGACTGAGGAGTCGGGTCCCAGTGACTGATTGGTCTACGAACTCTCTAGCCTTGTAACTGGAAGGTCCTAGGTAGATGCGCACTGATGAAGGGTCCCAAACTGGGACGAAACAGTTGTCCAGTAGTCCTGGGTTCCCTAGTAGTCCTCTAACTGATGTCAGCCTGTGGTCAAACCTGAAATCCAATACTTGAAATTTATTGATACTGTAAAGTTAGCTAATCTTAACCCAAGGTTCAATTTTTCGAATTTTTATAAAGTTATGTTGCAATAACAGAAGACAAGGACCGGGCAACAGATCGTTTATTAAGGAAATCAAAGCATATTTATATATTTTTATGTACATTATTATAGATTAGTTAAGCAAACAAACACAGTCTTCCCATTGGTTGTTTCTCACTTAAAGTTAATCTTTCATCTATTTGTGACTGTTTCTTGAATGTCAGATCATCTATATGTTAACTGTATCCGCCCACGCAAAGTCTGCTGCGGTCGGTTTTAAATCAATCTTTGTTCACATTTTCTCACGACAAATCTTGGGAACGTAAATATTGACGTAAATTACTGTCTACCAATTTGGCTAGTAGACAGCTCTCACCACAATGTGACCTCAGAACTCGTTTTTTAGCGGCTAGCAAGATGTATGTTTCGTAGTCGAGTTGAAATGAGTTCCAGAAAGTGGTTATCCCTCAGCCTATGAACCACATATGCAATGAGTATGACTGACTCACGACGTTTCTGAGCCGAATTGAACGATTTCATACTGACACACGAGCTGTCTAAACGACTGCGTCCATAATGCTTTGATTTCTGACATGAAATTACGTTTAGAGAGTGCGGGGACGGGGGGGCATATCCATCTTTAACTGCTTACTGAAGTTTGTTTCAAAGAGTGAAATGTGAATATCCCCTGGTAAAGATATACAGACAAGAAATACTCTTTCCTTGACTTCCTACTCAACAGTTTTGGCACCTTCACCACGGGTGCGATCAACAGACATATTGGACACTTACTTCTTATGGATGGTATACAAGTTTGAGTCTTCGAGTTTACTGATCTCTTGAAGAGCAAGTAGCGCTGAACACTAGAATACGAGGTCAGCCTAGCAGTAATCGTGTGAAATCTCTTGAATAAGTTGTTTTGGAATCAAAAGTTCCGTTTCCTTGCGGTAGAGGTGAATTCCACTAAGAACAACGATACCTGACCTGTACCAATGTGTGGTTTCTTTATGCCACTAGTAGCTGGTGTGTTGTGGCTTTCTTTAGGTAAACTGCTTTCAGTACATTTACAAGCTGTCTGCCTGGTTCCTTCAATTACGAGACGGTGTGTTTAGGAAGTTTATTAATAATGTCCACACCATCGAGCAGCACTAATCCTCGAAAACAAACATTAAATCTTGAGCATTTATAATAGTGTGAGTAACGTCCACAGTTAGGTTTTTATAATCCTTAGAAAATTAATGGTGAGACTATCTGAATGCGCGGAGATGAAAATGTCTACCTAGGTAGTAGCAAGTTGTCGAACAGCCGTTTTTTGGATTTCTAACCCGACATACAACAAGCTGAGCTGCAATACACACCAGCTAACCAGGTCATAATTTTAATGAAATCATCATGGGTAACGCCCAGCTGTCATTTGAAAGAATGTTACGTTACTGTCCGTTGATTATCACACTAGATTTCTGTTAAGTTAGTTCTCCTCCTAGCAGTCCTACTCATTCTGTATTCGAAGGGGAGCAGTAGGTTGTTAGTTCATTGTCTGTCTCTGTCTGTCTGGATTCAACATAGAACTTGGCACCGAAGTGCAACAGTTCGAGTTGCCACGTTCCAAATAGCACAAAGGTAGACAAGAAAATGAGTGAAGAGAATCAATAGAGTTTTGACAAGTATAAGAGTGAAACAGAATGAGTAATGGTAGAAAGGAATATGAAAGATTATAGGGACTGAATACATCTGCGCTAGCCATTGACAACGATTTTGAGCCATGTCACCTATTGTCTCCAGCCACTGATTCTTAGAGTCTCGAGGGCCCTAACCCGGAAGTCTGCATCTCCCTACCTGACTCAGTTTAACTGTCAAGGATTTCATGGATTGATGAGACCATGTTTTTGTTTGGCCACCACTTACTCTTTTCTAACCTGCGTAGACATCTATGATCAAAAACAGTCAACCTTTTCATGTCTTCAACTCGTATTGGCCATGTTTCAGAGCCATAGAGAAGGACGGAGCGAACTGCTGAGTAGTACACACGTCCCTTGGTTGATAGCCGGATGTCGCGCCTACGCCTACGAGATGGCGTAAGTTAGCGAAAGCAGCTCGAGCTTTTTGGATCCGTGATGAGATTTCGTCACCAATCACTCCGTTGGTGCTGATACAACTTCCCAAATAGGTGAAGTGGTCAACATGTTCTATCACTTCACTCCCTATCACTAAGCTGTGGGTAGACGTAGTCCAGTCCTGTAGCAGCATCTTAAAATTTACAGGGGCGAATCGCAAGCCAAACATACGAAGATTGCTGCTCAAGTGTTCATTCAGAAGACTCTGCATTTTGTAAGGCAATCTGAGATGTTTGAAGTCAGTTACCCGGAAAAGAATTTTCACGTACAATTTTTTAGAATGACACTAGTTGATAGCAAATCGTGACCAAACTTATATAGTGGTCCATTAATAAACAATAGGAAGGGTGACATAACTGATATAATTACTCAGAAGTGGTTTCAAAAATAAAACTACAAGTCACGTGATACCCAACGGCACAAATTCAATATTAAACTTATTATTGACTGAGCAGAAAGGTATTTGAGTGTCCACCTAACAAGTGTGAAGAGGGTGTGAAAATGTACAAAAGGAATATGTGAGAGTGATCATAATGAACTAATTATTGAAAATAAAAATTTAAAAAACTACAGGCAACGATTAATTCAGAGGTTAAGACTGTGGTAGAATAAGAGACTGGACAAACTTTTCTGAACTGAGTTCGGGGTTGTATTGAAAATGTTTTACTCACGGCCAGCCACCAGTATAGTTTCAGCTGCTCAACTTAATTAAGATTATATTAGAAAAGAGTTAGTTGTTATCAGTTCATAAAATGGGATCAGTTTGCTAATGTTTACTGACTAATACTTAGGAAGGTGTAGACTATGCAGTTAAGGTCCTCAAGATATTAAGAATCACTGACTATAGACTGTCGATAACTGTATTCAATATCTATTTAATTGAATTTTAGATTTTCCAGTCTATTGTTTGGACCGAAGTGCTCGGTCTCAGGCCAGTACATCGGCTTCTTGTACAGATGCTTCGACGATGTCTGGGCATGTAATTAAAGGTTAATTGGTAGATGGTGACTAGCACTGGAATCCAGGACAAAGCGCATTTCGTCCTATTTGGGACTCGTCTTCCTGTCGAATGTACCTGCATTCCCCAGTGAGTGATGATGTTCCCACCTAGGCTCGAACCCAGTGTGCCCATAGTTTCAATATCGCTAAGCATGGCGTCCAGCACTGTAGAACGGCTACGTCACTCTTTTTAATTAATTGAATAACCTTTTTTCCATGACGTCAGTCGACTTCTTCCTGTTTCATATCAATGCTGATTCGTCGTCAGTCAAGTAAACCTGTTGATTACCCGATTACTAAAAGATCCCATTAATTTTTATCAAACCACAAATTTAACAATAATTCTGAAATTATTTTATATAAGATAGGACAGGAAATATGCTACACATACTATCATTGCATACACCACCATCACCCTACTCTCCTTACTAACCAATCAAATTCAACTTAACCACCCACTTATTTTCCGAATGGATAGGAAAAATAATTCGTTAAAAAAAGAATAACCAATCAGAATCCTGTATGAAAATAAAATATATATTTAAATAAAAATGCTTGAGCAAAAGGCAAATTTCCACATTTATTACTGAGATAATTAATGCGCGCAACATCGACAGCAGAAGACTTTATGTCGAGTTAACAACAAGTAACATTGTTGAAAAAAGCACACACATAATATTCTGTTTGTTATATATACATTATTATTATCATTAAATCGAAGAAATTTAAAAGTATTGATCATTCTAATCAATAGGCCGGATTATTAATATTACTATTATTAATATTGTATGTATCAAATGGAGACAATTAGCAGTATACCATCGAATCAACCATTACAAGTTACAATTAATGATTATGCTTATCGTTTAAGATATGGTGTACCAGAAGATTCTACAGTAAAACTATTCCGTGAATACTATCCACATCGTTTTCAAGAATTATGTATGATACATTTATCTTTTTTAATTGATATCCCATGGAATTTTTTGGATCAAAAAACAATACCAACAAATACTACTACTACTACTACTTCTACCATGAGCAGTAATCATTCTTTATTTACAATGAATCCAGTTAATAATAATAATGGAACATCAACAACAGCGCCTGCATCTACTCAAACAACAACACAGCAACAATCACGTCGAATACAAATTCTCTGAGTACTACAAATATTGGTGGAGCAACAAAAGCTATGCTTAAAAGATTATGGATTAATTGGCGTTTAAATTCACGTAAGTAAATTGTTTTTTAAAACTTATGAAATGGCATGTATTGGTAGGATGAAGCCATTTTTTAGTAGGTGATAGCTTCTTTTGTGTTTGTGTAGTTGCAGTAGGGGCAGTTTTTGCGTTACATGTCTCTTCATGAGATCCAAGCTCTCCCTGAAACCGTTCACTGATGATGATGTCTATAACACTTGACCCTTTGAACTCACTATATTTTTGATAAGAGATTAGAAAATTTATGTAAAAGTCACTTTTTATTGCTCCATAGGATGAAAATTAGATCCCCTGTCTCATTTTACAGCAAGGATAATGCATAGAGGTTTAGCCTTACCAACGTCTTTTTCATATATGATGTGTCGAACACCGACTAATCAAGTGTCTACCGCCTATACGCTTTAGATGACATTTACCTTCTGACCAACTTTCAATAAACTATTCTATTTACTTATGAATCTTTGTTAAGTTATGTAATCTGTCGAATTATAATAATAATAATAATAATTATATATATATACACTTGAAAAATGTTGAGAATGACGTAATCTGCCATTATGCACCGTTGGATATATTTATTTATTTATATTCCGCCCTCCTCCCCAAAGGACTTCCAGTTATCATTATCATTATCAGAGTCACATGACGTGTAAATTTTACATATATTATGTTCATTTACCGATCAAAATAAGTTATTACACCTATCTATAATAAGTGAAAATAGATTTATGCATAGTTGTGATTAAGATAAGACCTCAGCGTGTGATATAAACATACATATATATTTTTAACAAGGAAAGCATATTATCAAGTCAGTGGGAATGTGATACATTCGTTCAATTTTTCAGTCAAGCCTATTCGACCTAGTATCAAGTTACAGAGTCTTTAGACGACAAATGTGGCTTTAAAGTCAGTTAACTGTGTTCATACATTGTAGTAGTATAGTAGTAGTAGTAGCGGTTTAATGATAATTATTTTGAGAATGGAACAGTTGTCGGAGATTCTTTTTTGTTAGATTTCGGGCAACGGTAAAGGAATCCTACAGGGTATATTTTTTAAATTTTTATTTTGATAATAGCTTGAAACCACACAGTATTTTTGGTACAAGTATGGAATTTTCAGCATATGATATAGGGGTAGCCTAAATTTTGCAGGCCGACTATTGATATCAGTTGTGTGTCGGCAGGGGATCGAACCCCGAACCATGTGATGGTCGGCAAGATTCCTAACCGCTGTGCCACTGACGCACATGTGCTGCAAAACCCGCCCCAGTTTCTCATAGAAGTGGTTACAGACATATGAAACCAATGTATTCTCCATTTCTGCAGTTGTGCTAGATACTGATCGCATATACTCAATATATTACTACTAAGGGAGAGCTTTGGTTTCGAGAAGAAAGTGTCTAAAAAATCACCATTATGTGCGGCTTACCAGCTCTTACAGACTTCCTCACATAAAATAGCTGCATTTGAATGCATAACCATCAGTAGAGTCATTATCCCTCCACCACATATGCATGTTTTAGTCCTTATTGATATGAGTATAAAACTTGGGCACTGTGGTAGAGTATAAATCTATAATGGATAAGATTTTATTTTGATAAATCTTATCCATTATGGATGTTTTAGTCCTCCCTATCGACCTATTTTCCACAGCGAATTCAAAAACCAAGTCTAGGAGACACTTGCAACGAAGATTTGTAATACTGAGCTATCTATCTGATTGGTCGAATCACGGTCATTTGACGTCGGTCGATCGGTCGGTTTTCGACATAGAACTTTGCACATATGTGCGGCAGTTCAAGTCGCCACACTCCATGTAGCACACAAAGCAAGAGAAGAAAGTATAAGAAATGCATATTAGAGACAGTAAACAGAGGTGAGAGACAAAGGAATAGCAATAACGGAGAACAAAACAGTTCAATTGGAAATCATAAGTCACAAGGAGTGGATGCATCTGAGCCAGCCATTGAGAACGATCACTTTGAGCCATGTCACCAATTGTTTCCAGCCTGCATCAGTTTTTACCATCCCGAGGACCCCAACCAGGAAGTCTACATCTTCCTACGTGGCTTAGACTAACTGTTGTGGAATTCATTGACTGGTTCCATGTTTTGGTTTGACCGCCGCTAGCTCTTTTCCAGCCTGACCATATATCAGCTAACATTCCCGCCGAGGAAGGCGATGACTAGGCATACGTAACACATGTCCTAACCATCTCAGTCGATGTAATTATACAGTCTCGTCGACTGATTTCCCCGCCTTACCTAGCGCTCGACGCCTAACCTCAATATTGCTGACCTTATTATACCACTTCACGCGGGAGATGGAACGCAGACACCTATGATCGAAGACGGCTAATCTTTTCATGCCTTCTGCTCTCAATGGCCAGGTCTCACAGCCATAAAGGAGGACGGAGCGGATTGTTAAGCAGTACACACACGCCCTTTGGTCGACGTTGGTGTCTTTTGTTTATTCTTGCGAGATTTCTCTTTGACATTAGATAGATTTTATCGGCTCAGAAGGAATAATCAAGTCGTTTCAGTATTCCTGATTTTGTTTTCTTCTCATTCGTTGTGTCTTGGATGACAAATAGGACTATCGATATCAATATCAGTGGTGGATTTCCTAAGCTCATACGTAATTTCCCTTCTTCTTCCATATTGCTAGTGCGCAGCTACTAAATTAGGTTGAGGTATACGAGAATGCCTCAAAAATGGGAGCTATAAACTTATCACAGGCAACGTGGTTGGCAAGTTTCTTGCCATATAAAAACTACCGATGTAATTCGATTTCTGATAGGTTTCTCTTTATTTTGTTGGCTAAATTCAGTCTCTTTGCCAAAATTTTTTCTGATCACTGCTCATTTGTTTCTATCAATTCTTCCAATATTATTGATATTCATTCACTTAACGGCGGGGGGGAGGGATAATCAACACCGTGTGTCTTGTGTATCCAGGTGACTGAGTAAAAAAGATGAATGTGAGTAACTCTATAAGTAAACACAGTCAATTTACTCCCAAACATCTCAAGACAGAAAAATAAATACAAACATAATAATAATAATAATAAACAAAAGACAATAGAATAGTTGTAGTATTCAGTTGTCACAATAGAAGAAACAGGAAAAGAACCCAGGAAAAACCTAATTAATTTCTTTTTCTTTGTTTTATTTTATTTTGTGTCTTAACTTGTACTTCCTTCTCTTTTTTGTGTGTGTGTTGAAGAGACCAATGCATAGAATGCTACTTGTCAAGTAGTTTTAGCTATATAATACACGCTAACCACTATTCTAATACTTCCTGTCCGCGGCCCCCCCCCCGTCCCAACTACTACTACTAGTACTACGATGAATGGTGAAGTAAAGTAAATGTGGAATTTGCTTATACACATGTAGAATAGTATAGAAATAGAAATAGATGATGTCTAAAGAATTTTATCCGATTGTGCTCGTAAATATACACACGAAATTTTACTTTTCAAGATGTGAACTACAGTGTGTGTGTGTGTGTGGGTGGGTGGGTGTGCGTGTTTAGGCTTAGGTACACAAAAAAATACCTTACATTATTTTGCACTTACAATTATCATGATCTATATTGTGTTTACATACACACACATAGAATAAAGAGTCTTTTATTATATATGTCGAGTGAACAGGATACCTTTGTTTTTTTAAGAGGAGAGAAGTGTAAGAAAGTGCAAGCTGACTTGCTGTGGAAGGTGAATTTTCTGGGGTGGGGGAGTAGAATAGTTAAATAGTTAAGCAAATGTACAATAAAAAAAAAACAACAAAAAACAGTATCTATGTCAAAAGAAGAACACGGAAAACTATATATGTTGTTGTACCATCTGGTGATGGTATGGCTTAAAGAGTTTTGCGTTCATGATCAATTGTAATACATACACATTGAGGAGTATTCACAGCTATAGAGATGAAGAGCTGAGCGGACAGAAATGCATATATACTACATGGATATGTATATATGTGAATATATATATTGTGTGTAATGTGTGTAGTATGAATAATATTCATACAAATAGTTCTCCTTTTTGAGGTATGCGATGGGTTTATTCAAATAAAGGTAGTCTGGTTTTAAATAAAGAGCTAATTAATGGTACCTTTCAAAAACATTCATGTAAAATAATTGGCAACTGCACAGCCTTTTGTTGTTTTTCAGATATGTATCAAGTTTGCATTATTATCACTTTCAGCTGATGACACCATGAATACCTTTAAGTCTTCAGTTTTACCCTTCTAAATAAATCTCTTCCATGGGATACTCGGACACCACACTCGTCAATATTCACTTAGTGTGTCTTCCTCGACGGGCAATGTTAGCTGATATAGGGTCAGGCTGGAAAAGAGCTAGCGGCGGTCAAATCAAAACATGGCCTCACCAGTCAATGAAATCTACAACAGTTAGTCTAAGCCACGTAGGAAGATGTAGACTTCCTGGTTGGGGTCCTCGGGATGGTAAAAACCAATGGTTGGAAACAATTGGTGATATGGCTGGCTCAAAATCGTTCCCAATAATGGCTGGTTCAGATGCATCCACTCCTTGTGACTTATGACTTCCAATGAAACTGTTTTGTTCTTCGTTATTACTATTCCTTTGTCTCACACCTCTGTTTACTGTCTCTAATATGCATTTCTTCTAATTTCTTCTCTTGCTTTGTGTGCTACATGGAGGGAGTGTGGCGACTTGAACTGCCGCACATATGTGCAAAGTTCTACGTCGAAAACAGACAGACAGACAGTGTGTCTACTTAAGCTTTGTGTGCGATGCTAATGCGGGACGTCATCTTAGTATGTTTGTCCAATATATCACCTTTTTCCTAACTGGATTATTTGTTGGGTAGGGGAGGTGCTTTTATCAACAGATGTCTTCACTCGATCCTGAAGATCAGATGGACAGTCAGAAGGAATAAGAAATCCAATCAAAAACCCACTACCGTACACATATGCAGACATGGATAAAGCATACAAGCTGAAGAGACTATCGACTAACATCCTCCGCATGTCCTAGGCATATCCTCGTCTGGAAACCAAATCGGATCCTATGAGTTAACTGTTGAAGGATGACATGTTGGAGATTATTTGAAGAGGAGGGGAGGTGAGAGCTTTTAGGGTAATTATTGTCGTTAGCTTATAAGGACTCTAGTGTAAGTGTTGAAATGGAGATACATTGCTGAAGTTCCTATGTCCTATGTCTTCAGCTTGTACTATGATTGCTCACAAGCTCTCATCTCCTCCTTACACGATCTCCTCCATGTCACCCACTCGTCGCTTCCGATTGGGATTCCACTCGAGTGATGGCCTGCATTCCGCGCAGTGTCATTCGATGGTATGTCCGGTCCATCTTGCCTTTTGGTGTGTTTCCAACGTTTCTCGTTTCTAATTCTTTCTGGCCATTTGATTTTGAGTATGGAGCGAAGTGGGCAGCTGTTGACAAAGGTCTGCAACCTTTCGGAAATCCTTTTCGTGACACGCTTGCCAAGTTTGTGACCTGTAAAGAAAGACCGACTTGACATTAGCGTTGGAAATGTGAATCTTGTTCCTTATGCTGAGTGAGTGGAGAAGATTTACAAATTGGTTTCAAGTTGATGAAGGCGTATCTTGCCTTTCCGATTCTGGCCACCTTTGATATCTTCATCCGTTCCCACTGCCTGTGGTTGAAACGATGCTGGCTGCCTAGATAAGTGAAGGAAGTAACCTCTGTTAAGTCTCTCCCGTTGATGGTGATTGGTGCTGGTTGCTGTTGTTGTTGATGTTGGTTGGTCGGTTATCTTCATCACCTCCATCCTCTCTAAGTTCACTTGGAGTCCTGTCTTCGCTGCAGCAAGCCTCTTCAGCCAGTTTGTTGGTTTTCGCCTGCCTGTAAATCTCCAAGTTCATGTGACATTAGATATATATGTGTCATCTATGAAATCTAGATCTTCTAAAGTCTTCTGTCTCATTTCAACGACTGGAGAGAATCAATCAACCAAACCAGTTCTTTTTTATATTGTGTTGTTCTTCCCCTCCAAATCTTATACTACTTGAGAGGTATTCACGTGGCTGGCTGGCTGGCTGTATAATTGATGACACTTGTCAAGCTGGCTAAATTATTCTACTTTTTTTTTATAATGATAATAAATTGCTCTTATGATCATATTAATAATTGACTTGACAGATGTGTGTGTGTATATAATTATCACCAGAAATTCAAACAATCATTAATCATTCCTACCTTCTTTGTTGTTGATAATGTAAAGATTGAGTGATACAAAACACACAAATTTTAGTATTATTTAAAAAAAAACACCCAGACTATCTAACTATTACATAATCGCGTTCCTACATCCTTTCACACTTGACTTCAATTGGTCATGTATATATATCCCTAATTATTTTGCCCTTTTTTGACTTCATTAGTGTGTTTGTGTGTGTGCATTTGTCTATTACGAAGTGTGTGCGTGTGTGTGTGTGTGTGTAGGGGCTGGTCATCTATCACCTTCACACCACTTTATTTTTAACAACAATAAACAATTACGTAATAATTTTTACACTTTATTCCCCACTGTTGTTGTCGCTGTTGTTATTTTTTGCCTCAATCGTCGTTGATTTATGAGATCATACAAACAGATAGATAAACATTTTGATACAATGATGTCATCGCACACAAACGCACACACAGTCACACACTCAAAATCTTTACAGGTCAAGTTTCACTATTATCTATTTTGAAGTGGAATAATATTAATAATAATGATAATAATAGTAATAATAACAGTGACTGTTCGTTTGATTATTATCGATTTTTTTCGGCTCAACCACTTCATCCCATGTATGTACATGCAAAAAAACATCGATCTACGTTTTAGATAGATTCAGTTTTCTCTAAATTTACAATATTATGAAAAAATAGGCTAGAGAAACATTACTATTCTGTCCGGTACTTTGTGGTTTCAAAGATTCTTTAAGAACCATTAGAAAACCAGCTGGGAGTACTGCCAGACAGCTAGCTGTGTCGTCAGCCTAGTTTGGGTCTCTTCACCATCAGTACGCACTCACCGCCAGGGCTCTAATCCCAGGATTTTCTGCCAAGTCACGACATAGCGCGACCACTTCGCAGTGTCTTCTTCGATGAGTAAATGTCGTCACCTTCGACCTACTGTACCCTGGTGGCTTAATGGTCTACGAGCTCTCTAGCCTTGTGTACTGTTGTAGAGTCCCAAACTAGGCTGACGAAATAGCTGTCTGGCAGTACTCCCAGCTAGTTTTCCAATGGTTCTCTAACTGATGTCAGTTCATGATGAAATCCTCCATCCAATCAAAAACAAAATCCCTACAAAACCAATCCTTGAAAATTCTTTAAGAAGTTATGTTCATAAGTGCTTACAGTTTGATGTTGCTGTACGAAATCTGATCTCTCTGTTATCCAAAATTGGTATTCTCCTCCTCCTCCTCACTAAACCAACATTCTTTAAAGATCATCGAAAAACCATGGACCACTGGATAGTTGTTTCATCCTAGACTGGAACTCTTCAGTAGTATAATTCCACGAACCCGCCAAGTACTGAACTCTGTACCATTAAGACTATTAAGAGGTCAAGCTCATACCATTTTCGACGGACAAGAGTCTACTTCACCTTAGCAGTCTGGACAACGTTCAAGACATTAGGATATCCATCCAGTTAGGCATTTAATGAGCAAAAGATTGTAGTGATTTCGATTGATTAATTATTTCTTTCTCATAAAGAGAAATTTCAATCCTTCAAAATAAAGATAAATCTTCCCCCCTTTCCCTTCCTTTGTTTTTTTTCTAAAAATATGAAACAATTTTATCAATATCATTATTCTAAATCATATGTATCGTTTCTCAACAGCAAATGAGCCAACGGAAAGTGAATCAGTGAACATCTGTACTATTTGCGCGTTGTGTGTGTGTGTTGTAACACTCACTATCATCTAATGGCCATTAAATCATTTTGTGTTGTACACTTGTCGTTCAACTACAGGTGTTCACCCATTCATCCATTCACTGATGGCAAAGTGAACTGTAATCATGAAATATAAACTTTTCAAAATATGTACAGACAGAAAAAAGATATGTGAATACAAACCAGATGTTGTCGCCTTCAACAGTTATGTCCCACTAAATATAATATAATGTTTAAAGTACATAAAATTATGTGTCTATCGGATTAGTACAGGGAGAGAGAGAGAAAGAGACAAATGGCTCAGATGAACTGAGTGTTGCTCACTTTTTTTACCACTCATGAAAGGGAAGGAAAAGCAATTTAGTGAACGTATATAACAATTATTATTACTACTAATATTACGACTTCATGTCTGAGTACATATAATCCGTGTTATTCTATAAAACAATAATAATAATGATAATGATGATAAAATAAAGTTGTCTGAGGGTCATTCAATTAAAATAATTCATCTCTTATCGAATCTTTGAAAAATTTTATATTTCCCCCCTTTTCATAAAATAAGACAGACTTGAGATGATGTTAATAATAATAATAATATCAATGGGGATCAATAAATTGTCAATAAATTTTTCTTACGGATTATTTATTATTCATACTTATAGAAGTGCACACTTTTTTTGACGATTTCACAGTTGGATTATTTTTGGGTTTGTTTTGTTTGTTTTTTCTGATGCGCACCGAACTAGTCCCTATTTAAGGGTGCATGGTTCTGTCAAGGTTAAGGTGTGACGGGGTGGGGTGATCTGATCAGTGAGGTGTTTAACCTGTGAATAGCATCGGCTTAACTAATGTTGATTATAATGTTGAGATAATCTCAAAATGTGTAAAAAAAACAAGGATTTCATAGGTCCCTTTGTCCACTGCGATGTACTATTTTGCTGACCTTGTTCAACGACTTTACTCACATTTATATATTGCATGTATGGTTGTGTTATGTATAGCTTCTGTCTCAAGTTTTTTAATTGTTTACCTTTCACATTGTGTATTTTGTTTGGTTTTGTTTTGTTTTTTTATAGATCCAACAAAATCGGATTCAGTTCCAGATGATTTAGCAAATAATATTATCTGTTTAATCGATCGATTGGATAATGATGAAGGTAAGTCGATAAAGTCTATTGATTTTTATATTATCATTACTATCTTGATAACAATAAAATTATAAATATCCAGATCATAGATGTCACGTCGTCAGATTGTGTCATTATAGAATATTTAAAAAAAATCTTATACATTTGGTGGGTGGTGACTGGCGGTGGAATCCAGGATGTGCATTTCGTCCTATTTGGGACTCACCATCTGCAGTGGGTGGTAGTGTTTCCACTGAGGCTGCAACTCAGTCCAATAAAATCAACGGGAATGTTCAAATTGAATTTAACTGAATAATCTTATACATATATTTTGATGGTTAATAAATTCCGAGTAATTCTTATGAAGAAGCTGTGGTTAACACAGTGGGATTATTTTAAGTAATCTAAAGTGAGACCTTGAGTACATTTAGAATAATACCATGGTTTAGTAACTATGAGTTAGATAAACAAGTGAACTATCAGCTTTGCAGATAATTGTATCCTTTCGAGCAGTCACACTTCTTCACATAGCACACAACGGTACAGGAAATTCAAAAGGGGGGGGGGTATAATGAACGGAAATTTACAAGAAATAGAATAAGCATACGGAGAATAATGAGAATTTAATGGATCTTTGGAGATTTATGAAGCGTGTATGCATGTGATAACGACTTTAAGCATCATCTCTAGGACCCTAATCAGGTAGTATATCCATCCCTAGATGACTCAAACCAACAGTTGACGACTTCAGAAACTGATACTGAAGAAAGCGATGGCTTGATTGACTTGTCCAACACATTGACCTCTTTTTTTCCCTGGGGGCTTACTACACAGGCTCGACAAAGTACATTAGTGTGTCAACGACGAATCAAAAGTAGAACTTTCACTGTCTGACTTTCAGTTAACCCTGTCAAATAAGCATTCATAGTGATTTTTTTGTTTTGAAAAATTCCGAAATATTCACTTTATATGTATATATATACCTATAAAGATTTATTGTTAAAAAATGCAAATATACAATCTTTTAAGTTATGATCATGATGATGATAATGAGTAGAATTCAGTTAAGATTGTATTAAAAGTGGTTTTATGCAAATTTTTTTTCCTTAGTTGCCATGGTAAGTGCATATATATACATACATATAATCATCAATGCTACTAGACTTGACTAGACACTCATCCATTTCTCTACATTTTTTTTTTGTTGTTGTTGTTAAAGTGTCTTAACAAAAGTAGTAACCGGAATCTGTTTATATAGACCGGCTATGTGCACAAATATAATGTTTACAAAACATCAGTGAATGACACTCACTTGACCACAATAATGATAATACTACTAATAATCATACGGGTTTTAAAAAAGGATATATATGGAATAGAATTATTAATGGTCAAGAGGAAATGCGTGTAAAGCACTACTTCTTGAAATTGAAACATTATTAAAGATTCTTTTTATCAAAAAAGAAAATACGACTTTATTCTTGAAGGTATAATTAATGTTCAATCAGATACTGACTGACTGTTAATCCAGCTGTACTGTCGGTTTGTAACATGATGGTGTGTCAAGTTTAATTCCTAGTTGGAGGAGAGGGGGTGGGTAGGGGGCATATCTCTCAAATTTCAGTCAACGGGTCACGCAACTTGACTCCAGCCTCTCTCTCGACAACTCAGCCCCCTCATCTGATGCTTATAGAGCACATTCCAGGTAACTTACCGCTAACTAGAGATATGCCAATTAAGATTTTATCGATAAATCTCAAGTTATCAATATGTACACTCATCCACTGTCGTTTTCCTTTTCTCTTTTTTTCTATTTTCTTTTAAGCATGTTGTGTTGAAGGTTTATTCCGTAAAGCTGGGCATACAATACGTAAACGTCAATTACAAGAAGCTTTACTACAATCATCATTTGATTCAAAATTATTTCAATGGGATAAATACAGTTTTCATGATTTAGCTGGTGCATTAAAATCAATATTAATACGTTTACCAGTACCATTATTTACAGAACGTTTAATCCCATTATTTTTACAAGTATCTGGTAAGTGGAATATATATCAATAACTTGTGGGTTTCTGTTACTTTTAGCCAATCCTTTTGCCTGTATTATTATTATTATTATTATTATGCTTTCCATGAGTTCCGAGTGAAACTTAGGGCTTCAGCACCCATATCTTCAATGTATTCTATCGTCTGACATTCAAAACTATACACAATCTTCCATTTCCTCCCCCCCTCCACAGAATCTTCCACATATCTCTCGTAATTGATTAGCTTGTCGCATCTTAATAGACTTCTTTCCGATGTCCTGGTGTGTGGAATATTCTTGATACTGACACTATCCAATGCGCCGTGGACTATATTCGAGCAGTATTAGAAGGATCTAAACCACATTTAGAATGTACAGGAGAAATGATGGTAGATTGAAGAGGCAAACGAAGAGAGTTTTGTGACCAGAATTTATTGGCTTACATATAGATTTTCAAGGGTTGATTTGTAAGGATTAGATTTGTTTTTTTACGAGTTTGCCCATGGATTGATATCAGTTAGAGAGCCATTGAAAGCAATCATGCTAGTTTGAGAATCATCAGCAATACGCACCCACGACAGGGATTCGAACCCAGCACCTTCCGGTTACAAGGCTGGTGACCTCGTCGACCATTCATCCACTGGAACCCGACTGAATGACAACTTCATGAGATCTAACTTCTAACAATTCGTGATATTTAGAGCGACTGCCAAAGGGGGTCAAACTTGGGACCTTAAGATTGCTAGGTTTGAATGTAATGAATAACCGCAATTTGGGATATTAATGTCGTACTCACTACTAACTGGATTCAAGGCGGATACTCCCAAGTTTAAGTGAGAAGGTCGCACATAGTTAAAAGAAGCTCACTATGTCACCTGTGAAACACAGTAATGGATGTTATTGGATAAGTGATGACTATGATGTGAATAGACAAACATTTACAGAAATCTACGTTGTCAGCAATTCACATCTCTACAAAACTCACAATTTAAATATCAGTCTCCAACTGATCGGAGGCAAATGAATCGATGTTCCAAAGTTGTAATGAACTGTCATGGTCAGTAAGGCATCCACTGTGTCAGCTTGAAGTCGATGCCCATCTATAACATTCGTTGGCGCTATTTGTACATCACGGATTGAGGAAACTTAGTATTCATGAGACAGTGAATTGCCACTAAGTGGCTGAATGGTTAGTAGTCTGCGTTTTTAACTTGAGTGAGTGCGTACTGCAGAGAAGTTATAAAATATGACTAAAAACTCTTGTCCAGTGCTCAGTGGTTTCCAGTTCTTCTCTAAGTGATTTCGTTTTGTGATCAAACTTGCACTGGGACTGATAGAATTTAGAAATCTTGGATTAGTCAACTGTCCATTGCTTATTGGTTTTCAATAAATTCTTAAACTGCCTTCGCATTCGTCGGTGGCACAGTGGTTAGGACTCTCGCCGACCATGCACATGGTCCGGGGTTCGATCCCCTGCCGGCGCACACCCGATATCTATGGTCGGCCTGCAAAATTTGGGCTACCGATATCCATGCTGAAAATTCCACACTTGTACTGCAAAATACGGTGTGGAATCAAGCTGTAAATCAAAATAAAAAATAAAAAAAAATGATACAGTTATAAGATAACAATATCACTTAGAGAACCATTGAAAGCCAGGGAGTACTAGACAGCTTTTCCATCCTAGTTTCGGAAATCGTTGGCAGTACGCACCTACCACAGGGGTTCAAATCCATCATCATCCAGTTACAAGGTAAGCTCGTATACCATTCAGCCGCTGGGACCCGACACCCACTGGCTAGTGCATTAATTCCAACTTCTACCGATTCGTGATATTTAGCGCGACTGGCACAAACCAATGTCATCGGTGGGAACTCTATCCTCACAATTGACTAGATGTACCTCACTGGGCATAACTTCTCACTAGAACTCCAGGAAACTCCATCCTGTAGCAAGTCACTAGCGAGCATCAGAATAATTTTCAAGAGCTGGTTTGTAAGGAGTAGATTTGTGGTTTTTACAAGTTTGCCCACGGATTGATATTAGGTAGAGAACCATTAAAAACCAGTCTAGTTTGGGAGTCATCGGCAATACGCATCCACTGAGGTTCACAATGAGACAGAATCCAATTCTATCTACTAAGATTACTTCACAATATCCTACTGTGTGTGATACACAGTGCAGATCATAAATTAATTATTTTTTTTAGAAAAATATGTCTAATGAAAGTACAAACTTTCGTCTTTTCCACTTTTTTTTCTTTTCATTAGTACATATCCATTAGGGAAGCAGCTGTTCCTACAAACAATTTAAATAGTTGCACTCACACACACACTTGAAAAAGGGGGGGGGGAGTATAGATCGATAGGTAGATTTTACTCCCAGACAGATGAATTCATTTTAAGAAAATCTTATAGATTTTTAAAATAGATTAAACTTTAAAAAAATAGCAGCAATAAATAATTTAAGTGAACTGTAGTCACATAGGCAATGCAGATGGGATGTTCAATCGGTAGGGTATATTTATATATATGTGTATAATAGTACAGTCTATATCATAATTCAAATATGCGCTTCCCTTTTTTGTGTGCTGAGAATTATATATGACAAACGTTTAATGCACATTCTTCCTCCAGTTGACAATTTTACTTTTTATATAAGGACGATTGTGTTAATAGGTATGGAGAGATGGCTTAAACATACATTAGTGAGGTGAATATGTGTGTGCCGTCTGCGTCTGCTTCTCCCTGTGTGTATGTGTGTGTTTGTGTTAGCAGTTATTACAGGTGCAGATACCTTTAATTGCCAGACGAAACTCTAGAATACACACTGAGAAGAGATTAGAATACAAAAAAAACAAACAGAGCGCTTAAAACAAAAGAATACAAACGTCTTGATACAAAGTCTTGACTTAATCGATATATATTACTTCGTCAGTAGGTTTGATTTATGATTCAGTAGTCGACAGACGACTTTATAATAATATAAATATAAATATTAAGGTTTCGACCCTTTCTAAGCCTCATCAACCTCTCTGGCTCTTTGTTCCGTGTGTAGTTTTTAAAGCTCTTGAATTTGTCGTAGCTAAGGTATATAATGACTGTCATTCAACCAGATTGAGAGGAGGAGAGGAGAAGAACTCACCATCACACATTGTGTCAAATATTATTTATTTTATTCACAATTATTGATTCATGCTATTAAAGTACAAACTTGAGTGGTAATCAGTAATAATATGTGGTAAATTACCCTAGCAACCAAAAAAAACAATTGGATTACATTTTCAAAACAAAAATTGTCATATATTGCCATAAAAAGAAATTAAACAATGAAGCCCATTTTCGTTGCGTGATCCACTTGAATGTGGTATATCTCTGTGCATGTATTATACATATATACGCTGTATACATATACACACACACTCTCACTATTGTGAATTATGATCACTTATGTACTTTTGGCGATTAGATGAAATCTATTGAATAGAAGCCAGCCAGCCATCAATTCATTGATATAAGCTGTCAGTCAACGGCTATAAGGGGTGTAATATGTCAAAATTTGATGATTATAGATAGATGAATGGTGTTTAACTAATGTGGAGAGATTCGTGAACAATAGAATACAATGTTGTTAGTGATTACTGATTAACTAGGAAGATGGTGGGGGAGGGGGAGGGATGGAGTTCCTGTTTGTTGTAAAGATTTTTTGGCATCTAAATTTTTTTTAAAATTGGTTATTTGGTGGATTGTGGGTTTCAATATGCACTGGGTTGTTAGGATTCAGAAATTTTGACCTTTTAACTAATTAATATCTGTTAGAGAACCATTGAAAACAAGCTGGGAGTACTGGGCATATGTTTCATCCCACTTTGGGAATCATCGGCAGTACGCATTGGATGTTCCACTGACGGCATTAGTTGGGGTTGCGGTAAATCACGAATTCGTAGAAGTTAGAATTCATGAGCCACTGAATCGAGTCCCAGTGGCTGAATGGCCTACGAGCTCGCTAGCCTTATAACTGGAAGGTAAGGTCCTGGGTTCGAACCCCTGCGGTGGGTGCGTACTGCATCACACACTCCCAAACTAGACTGAAGAAATAGCTGTCCAGTTCTCCATGTGGCTGGTTTTCAATGGTTCTCTAACTGGTATCCGTGATCAACTCGTGAAAAAACAAAGCTAATCCTTAGAAACCAATTAATTATAGATAATTAATATTCCTATTTTCTACCTCAGGGATCAAGATATCCCAACTTATTTTCATGTATATTATAGTTAGTGAAACTACGTATTTCTTCAGGCTGTAATATATGAAATAGGGTTCCTATCTCTAAAACATCACATCTATTATTATATTTACTCTGTGGAATCCTTGAAGATCTTATCAAATTTGATTGATCTCAGTTTCACAGGATCAGACTTCTCATGTGTCATACTGTGAGTCATACTAATATTATGCACGAAAGTGCTAAACAGTTTTTTTTCTAGTTTAACCACGGATTGATATCAGTTAGAGGACCACCGGGGAACCAAGGATTACTGGTTCTAGTTTGGGACCTTCCACCAGTACTCACCTACTAGGGTTCATGCCTAGGACCTTCCATTCACAGGACTAGCGAGCGCGTAGACCATTCACTCACTGGCCAGTCCATGAATTATAACTTCTACCACTTCGTGATGTTCAGCGCGACTGGTACCAACCAATATCATCGGCAGGAAATTCGTCCTCACACTTGACTACATGGACTTCACTGGTCGCACCACCTCACTAGAACTCCAAGAAACCCCATCCTGTAGCCAGCCGATGGCGAGCATCAGAATAATTTCCAAGAGTTCGGTTTTTTTAATGCTAGCTGAATGAAGTTGGAAAAGAGTCAGGTATATATGGTCAAATAGAAATGTCTGTTGGCTTATGAGCCACTTAGTAGGGCTGTTGTAAACTAAACAAAAGCTGGCTGGTTATGGCGCTAATAAAGTAATGATTGGAAACTGTTGGTAATGTGGCTCCAGTACCGGTCTCAATGGTACATATATATATATATATTCACTCTCAATGCAACCATTCTTCCTTCGTGTACATTTCCATTTACAGTATAGTCCCCAATCAATTCTTTATCTATATGAGTGTTATGTGGAATGTCTGTCTGTCTGTTTTCGACATAGAACTTTGCACATATGTGCGGCAGTTCCAGTCGCCACACTCCCTCCATGTAGCACACAAAGCAAGAGAAGAAAGTAGGAGAAATGCATAATAGAGACAGTAAACAGAGGTGTGAGACAAAGGAATAGTAATAACGAAGAACAAAACAGTTTCATTGGAAATCATAAGTCACAAGGAGTGGATGCATCTGAGCCAGACATCACTGAGAACGATTTTGAGCCATATCACCAATTGTTTCCAACCATTGGTTTTTACCGTCCCGAGGACCCCAACCAGTCAGGAAATCTACACCTTCCTACGTGGCTTAGACTAACTGTTGTAGATTTCATTGACTGGTGCCATGTTTTCCAGCCTGACCCTATGTCAGATAACATTGCCAGTCGAGGAAGGCGATGACTAGGCATACGTAACACATGTCCTAACCATCTCAGTCGATGTAATTTCACAGCCTCGTCGATTGATTTCCCCTCCCACCTACCTAGCACTCGAATTTGATAAGCTGAACTTCTTTCTCAAAAATTTTCAATATTGAATATTAAAGTCATCATATAGCTGAAATTATTTTTCTTATTTTTGTTGTTATTCTTTTCTCTATTATTTAAATAAACAAGGTTTACGAAAATTTAAACAATTCAATAAGAATGAAGAGAAGACAACATCAACGGGAACAAGTGATGTGGAGACAACAATTACGTCATCATCATCACCATCCACGCCATCAATCAATGAAAAGAATTTAATTCATCTTATTGAAAGTAAACAGATTAAAGCCTTGCGTTTACTCATCCAACTGTTACCAATAACAAATTTACGTATACTAAAACGCTTGTTGGAATTGTTAATTCGTGTGAAAGATTTAAATTTAAAAAATCGTATGACAAGTTTATGCCTTGGTACAATATTTGGTCCTGTGTTATTACCACAAGGTATATTGAATGAAACAGTGCGTAGTTTAAAGGTAAGCGGCTTTTTTTATCCCATTTGGCCATGTTGTTTTTTGTTGTTAACCTATTTAAATTAATTTGTTTGGTTATTATTATGAGAAAGTATTAATTCCTGGAATATGTGCGTCGGTGGCACAGCGGTAGAATGCTCGCCAACCACACATGTGGTCCGGGGTTCGATCCCCGGCGACTGACGCACTTCTTAACCTCGCTAAGCCATTAATAAGACTGCTAAAGAGGGACTGTTGAGCATGAGGCTAGCCACTAGGTTGAAGCTTTATGTTCCACTGGGAACGTAAAGGAATAAAAAAAGTTCCTGAAATCTAGGACTTCAGTAGTTCTCAATTCACTGCCTGTTTTCATGATTGTCCAGTGGCTTTTATTCCTACTTCATATGGTCTCTACATTGCCAAACACAGGAGCCTGTTTGGATACCCTGAGAGGTATCAAGTTTACTTCTATTCGCTTATCTTTATGCTAGTTGACCGTTTCCAGAAACTACCTGGTACGAACTAGGGTATGTAGACTTCGGTCCTTCTCTTAAGATTAGCATGCCTAGTGCCAACATCTAGTGCATATATACCTGGAGGAGCTATAAATCCCCTGATTTCAAAAAACCTATAATGTAGAGATGAGCTTCAGTATCCTAACAGACTGAATGGTGTATGTGTTGTACTTGTTTTAGGCACCGGAAACCACCTCAGCATAGTTCCTCACACTGCTCCACTGTTAGATGGTTGGAGGCAATCGGTAGGAAGCGCTGCCGGGACATAGGTTTCGTGCTAGTTGGCACTCACCAGTCCTCAGCAAGGCGTATCTGCAACCTTGAAGGGACTCCTGTCCCTTCTGAGATTCGAACCCGCGTCACCCACTGCTGCAGTCAGACGTTACCACGGAGCTATTCACTCTCGCGACTGAGCTCCCGTAGGACTGCGGTGGGTATTTTGTTTGACACTAGTAGCTAGTATGATGTGTCTACTTCTCTCTGGTGCAGACTTAATTCTATCAGCCAGGTTTGTAATGTGGGCACCATTCTAGATAGCTCGCCATCACGGTGCTTATTGATTTGATGATGTTAGATGGTTGAAGGCAATCGGCAGGAAGCCGAATAGCTCAGTGATAATGTCTCTGACTGCAGTACTCACTGGGTGACGTGGGTTTGAATCTCAGAAGGGTCATGAGTTCCTTCGAGGTTGCAGATACGCTTTGCTGACTGGTGACTGCCAACTAGCACGAAACGAAGTCAAAGGTTTCCTGCCAACCAGCTCCAGCCATCTAATATCAACAATTGGAAGTAAACCGTGATGGTGAGCCATCTAGAATGGTGGCCACATTACAAACCTGACTGACTGATAGAATTCAGTCTGCACCAAAGAGAGGACTAGACACATCATACTAGTTACTAGTGTCAAATCAAAAACTGCTCCACTGTCTTATGGGTTCGACTTCAAATCAAGTGCTCTGCACCAATCTGCTCTACTCTGAGCGTCCAGTTATTATCCAAACCCTGAAACAAAGGATGAGATTTTAAGTTTTAATATAAATAAGATAAATATTTGTTGCCTAATAAGATTGGTTCACTTTCTGCAAGAGTTTTTTTACTGTTCATTCTTTCTGATCACCGATCTGATTTTCACTTTTAAGTGACCGTTAAGTCCCTGGCACACACTTGACATTAATGCTTGAAATGTTTTCCTGTAATGCTTAATGTTGTCAACAGCAGGCGTCTTCTGTCTTGCTTTTCCGATTCTACCTTCGACATATGCGCGATCTACAGGACTTACCTATTGACGGTTACTAGTTGATCTGAGTGTATTTTATTTCATTTAACGTTTGGCAACGTGTCATACTAAAAAAAACACACGTCACAATTGGGTTTTTAAGAATTTACGTAATACTGTGTGAAACTTGATAACATAGAATTTAACGTTATAAAAAAGTAGAATTGATTTAGAATGACAAGTGGAACAAGTGAAATAATACCAGGGACAATTAAAAGTTAGAGAAGTAATAGTAACAATTGACGTAATAAGGAACAGAATACAAACTGAATAGACAAAATGAAAATATGAAAAATGAAAAATCGGTAGAGCTAAAATGTGATTGGGGATTACCATACTTTAGCATAGAGAGATTAAGACCATGAAAGTTGGAGGGGTTGAACGAACTTTTTTATACACAGAGATCTGGCTTTTCTGTTTCGATAGCCAAAGATGGGTTCGGTAATACAGATGAGTCGGGTACGTAGGGATTTGGGTAAATTACTCTTTGCCTTGTAGATGACTTTAAAGGCGGAGGCTATAGAGATAGTGTGATCATTATCAGCCGCATGTTCAGTGATCGCGCTTCTTATTGCTCCACTTCCACCTTTTCGTAACCATGCAGGATAGTGATTTTGCACCCTATTGGACAAAACTCGAGTCGAACGACCGATATACCTAGCTCCACACGAGCAGGTGAATTGTTAAACACACATAGAGTTGGTCAACTGTGGGATCTTGTCCTTCAGGTTACTGAACTGTAATGGTCGACTAGTAAAGGCTATTCTCAGAGATGCAGCAGGGAATGTTCTTCTCAGGGACTGTGATATCCTTCGTTTCATGATATCGGAAGCTAAGTCCCTTTTACGTAAAGTATGGTAATCCCCAATCACATTTTGACTCTACCAATTTTTCATTTTTTTAAGAATTTAGTCTTGCATGTCGAACCTGTAGTGAATGCCAAATGTAGGCTTAAAATGTATTTGAAAAAAACTCTTTCATCATTCCAGTCAAAAATGATAATAATGTGCGTTGCTATGACGATAATTGAAAATTCACTAAAAGCAAAAGAAAAGACTTCAGTTATCCTATTTTTGGTCAGTACACACAGTAGGGAAGCTGATTGTGTATTCACTCGCTTTTGTTCTATCTTAGAAAACCCGCTGTGTAGGTGTGTGTGAGTCTGTATTCTTTGAAAATGTGAAAATCTGATAAAAGAAGTAACAACAGATACAACGTTTTTCAATTATGTGTATATAACTGGACATTGTTAGTTATTTCAATAAGTTTTTGATGATGATAATAGGGAGAGTGAGAGTGAGTGAGTGCGTGTGAGAAAGAGAGATGGAGACAGAAAGCGACAGAAGAATGAGATAGGGAGAAACTTTTCCAATTATCATATTCTGTTTCTACACAGACACAGAAATACACGTGTGCATAACTACTCAATGTACAGATTTATTGAATCCCTATTTTTGGTTTGTTCTAAGTGAATCATTGTTATTATTATCTGCGCATAAATTATAAATAAATAAATAAATAAATAAAAGACAATGAAAGAAAAAAAATAACAAGTGAGAAATGTTCAGTTTCTTCTTCTTCAGCTCCTAGTATGGGATGTGGTTTATTGGATTGATTTATCAACCATCGACTTTTTGGGGTTCGAATCCAGCCACATTTATTTCAGTGATGAATACCCAGGCAATTAGGTAGTATGATCAGGCCTTAGACAATAAGTGTCCTGACCCAGGAATCGAGTTCAATGTAGTTAGTAGAGATGTTTCTACTAAGCCTTAAGTTGATAATGGCTAGCAGTGAAAAATCCACAATGCACAATTCGTCTTATTTACAAGGCGCTTGCATTTCTGAAAAGGGATAATGGTTGTTAAACCTATCACTCTAAACCCTAAAATGTTATCCAGTGGACATTTGTACGTTTGATTGAACACTAGTTACTAACTAGTGTCTCTCTGACTGCAGTACTCACTGGTAGACGTGGGTTTGAACGTCACAAGGGACATGAGTTCCGTCAAGGTTGCAAATGTTTGTCTGTCTGTTTTCGACATAGAACTTTGCATTGATGTGCGGCAGTTCGAGTCGCCAATTTCATGTAGCACACAAAGCAAGAGAAGAAATTAGAAGAAATGCATAATAGAGACAGTAAGTTGAGGTGTGAGACAAAGGAGTAGTAATAACGAAGAACAATATAGTTTCATTGGAAATAAGTCAAAATGAGTGGATGCATCTACGCCATTGAGCCATATCACCAATTGTTTCCAACCATTGGTTTTTACTGTCCCGAGGACCCCAACTAGTCAGGAAGTCTACACCTTCCTACGTGGCTGGCTTTTAAACTAACTGTTGTAGATTTTATTGACTGGTGCCATGTTTTGGTTTGACCGCCGCTAGCTCTTTCCCAGCCTGACCTTATGTCAGTTAACATTGCCCGTCGAGGAAGGCGATGACTTGGCATACGTAAGACATGTCCTAACCATCTCAGTCGATGTAATTTCACAGCCTCGTCGATTGATTTCCCATCCCTTCTTAACTAGCACTCGACGTGATATCTAACCTCAATATTGCTCATCTTATTATACCACTTAACACGGGAGATAGAACGCAGGCACCTATGATCAAAGACAGCTAATCTTTTCATGTCTTCCACTCTCAATGGCCAGGTCTCACAGCCATAAAGGAGGACGAAGCGGACTGCTGACAAGGTTGCAGATACACCTTGCTGACTGGTGATTGCCAACTAGCACGAAACCTGGGTCTAGTTTGACTTCCTGCGGATTGCCTCCAACCATCTAATATCAAATTTATACTTTCCCGATACACACAAACTTTTACCTTTGAAATATAAGAAAGTCATTTTCACACTTCATTCTAGTTTTTCATCACATAAATCATATTCAGATCTAGTTTGATGAACAATACAATCATAGGTTCGAAAATCCCTTTTACACACCTATACAATGATGTTCAGGCACTTAGACTATTTCACATTTGTATTCCTACTTATCCCTTCTGAAGTATGATATGTCAGCTTATTGAAAGTATCCGACTTTCGATACTAAATAAAGGTTGATACTGTTATTCCTCTGATCAGATTGAAATAGTTGGAAAGGGATTCGAGCCTAGGATCCTATTGTTGCATAACCCAGTAGCGAAATGGAATTGAAACCTTTTGAAAAAAAAGAAATTATTGCTATATACATATATATACATATACTTCAGTAATCTTAATTCTTCTTTCCTCTCTGTTTTTTTTCTCTCATAGAATTCTAAATATCCTTCAATGGAATGCCAAGAGAAATGTCTACAGTTAAGTAAACTCACCTGTCTACTCATTGAAACTGGCCTAGATATCTTCCTGTTGCCTTATTCATTAGTACAAGACATTTGTACAAATAGTCCATTTCTATTTACATATAAATCTCAGAAATTAAGTACAGATATTGAGAATAACAATAATAATAATAATAATAACAGTAGTGGTAATACTATTACTCATAAATTATTCTCAAGTTATCATCATCATCACTCCTCATATTCTACACTGAAAAAACAATCAGTAAAATTCAAAGATATCCCGATGTTATTCCTCTCCTCCTCCTCGTCCTCCGCTGGATCTTCGACTGTTTCACCGTCGAAAAATTGTTGTTACATGACCGATGACAATGACGATTACGATGATTCTCCACCTTTGCGTACAGCGATCCGGTTTGCTACACCAACACCGACAAGTGTTGCAAATTTTCGTCAGTTCACTTCACCAACAACGCAATCAACTATTAATAGTAATAATAATAGTAATAGTAATGATATTGAATATCTTCAACGCTTTCTATCCTCTAATCGTCATTATAACACAAATTCATCTATACATCGAAATTATAAACAATACTTATTGAATAAGTATACAGATCAACCGATTAAGTCGAAGTGGAATCGATCAGCTGATGAAATCTCACTAGATTATTTACGAAATTCAAGGGAAAAAGTTCAAAAATCTATTAGTGAATCACATAATGATGTAATGAAGGCGAATACCATCACTACGCCAACCAATTGTGGTAATTATCCCGTAGAATTAATTGGAAAAACATGCCGATTACAAGCGAATTCAGTGATTTCATCACCGAATTGTTTATCACCGACAAAGTGTAGTAAATATACTAAAGATAATATTGATGTAAGTTTAAAAAAAAATTTTATTATTGATTTATTGATCGCCTGATTATTACATGAGTTATTATGATTATTATTGTTTTGGGTTTAGTGACATACTTTTTTATGCTATACTGTTTCACTTCTTCTTCACACGATCTCCTCCATGTACTAGGTTTGTAATCTCCTCCAGCTTAGAAGGAGGAGAACGGACGCTATTCAGTGTGGCTTATGAAAAATATGTTGTGAGTGACGAATCATAACTGAAAGTATTGGTATCATATAGGTGGTGTCTGTGACCAGTGACTCCATATAAATATGTCATTGTGTGCGTCGGTGGCACAGCGGTTAGGACTCTCGCCGACCATGCACATGATCCGGGGTTCGATCTCCTGCCGACGCACACCCGATATCTATGGTCGGCCTGCAAAATTTGGGCTACCGATATCCATGCTGAAAATTCCATACTTGTGCTGAAAATACGGTGTGACATCAAGCTGTAATCAAAATAAATAATAAAATAAAAAATAAATAAAAATTGTTTTGGTTGAAATCTTTCGTGTTTCTTGTTTTGATTACAGCTTAATTCCACACCGTATTTATTGGTCCAGGTAGGGAATTTTCAGCATGCGATATCGGTAGTCTAAATTTTGCAGGCCGACCAATTGCTATCAGGTGTGCGTCAGCAGGGGATCGAACCCCGGACCATTTGCATAGTCGGCGAGAGTACTAGCCGCTGTGCCATTGACGCACTGACGATGCTAATAGATGCCATTTCTAACGACTTTTATGTGCAAGGGATATAAAGAGGGAACTGTTGTGCGTGTAAGACACAGCTTGATTATCCTATATGACGCCCCGATATGAAAGATGACAAATCTTCGATCTTCTATATTCCGAATTCATTATAACTGATGGAACTTTCAAAAGGAGTCATCGGATTATAACCATCTTTAATCTAGTCGAGTAGTATTCATCATAGACTGCCTTTTCCATATCATCCAACATATAGCCTACCTAGGCGAAGCATACATGCGTTACATAATTGAAATCTCTTTCATCCTTCATGATGGCAGAGCCCCGCAACAATTACAGGTTATATCCCAGTTCATAAATAAATACCAGATTAGTTAATTTTGCTATAAACACCACTTCTAATCTTAAACATTCACGCTGCTTTATTTTCGCTTTGTCTTTTAGACTGTACGTATTGACTGTAGTAAACGTAAATTTGGTAAAAGAAGACGATTCACAGAGCTACGATTACCAACCACTCTGAGTCGTACAAATGCTGGTGGAAGTGGCGTTGTTGGCAACACTGGAGGCGGCGGATCAAGTGGACATACTGCCCATGGTAATGGAAGCAGTAGTCATCGTCGATATATCTTTTCCCCGTGTCCTCCAATCCCCCTTTTACCATTTAAACGGTAGTGGTGCTTGTGTCGGCGGGGATGGGGAGGAGGGGTTAGACTTGTTTTCACCCTCGTCATTATTATCATTATCACCACCGACCTCAACTTGTCTACGGCGTCAACGACACTGACTAAATTCAATAAAACCATGACAATAACAAATGTATCAGAACATCATGGTAACTGATTCAATAAGTAACCTCCTTTACATGCTCTCACCATACTACTTATACTAATACTACAAAGAACACAAGAGTACCATTTTGTACACTCTATGCATATACAAGCACCATTTCATTCGATTCCATGTAATTATTTATTTTTTTAAAATGATTTCTTCTGTTATTATTATTCTTATGTAATAAAACATTTATTTTTACAAATTTTTTGCTAATTGTATAGAAATATGTACATAAAGCTTATTTTCTACTCGAAAACAATGTTAAAACTAAATTAAATTGAATTAAATTAAATTTTTAAGTTAATTAAAAGTACCTCTCTCTCTTTTTTTAGAAAATAAAACCTCTTTTTCAATACCTTGAACTCTGAAATGTGTTTTTGTTCTTTCGCCTTTCGTTTGACATACTACTCATGGTGTGGTGTATCCGCTGAGGTGGGTGATGGCATTATATTTCGTGAATTCCTACCCTGTGGCTGCATGGTGAATAGGCTCGCCACGTGACCTTTGTGGGCTCATGGCTCCATACTGATGAAGAGCCTCAGACTAGGACGAAACATTTGTACAGTACTCCCTGATTTACACTGAAGTTCTTTCTTTATCTAACTTGGAACCAATGAAATCCCTTGAAACTTTCTATCTGTTGCTGACGAAATCTCAGCACGGATAGAGAAGGCTCGTTTCGCATATGCCAGTTTACGCCGTCTCTGGCTTGGTAGACGTGATATCCAGCTATCAACCAAAGGTCGTGTGTACTGCTCTGCAGTCCGCTCCGTCCTCCTTTATGACTGTGAGACCTGTCTATTGAAAGTGGAGGAAAATTAAAAGGCTAGTTGTCTTTGATGATAGGTGTCTGCGTCCTATCTCCCGTGTCAGGTGGTATAATAGGGTGAGCGATATTGAGGTTAGGCGTCGAGTGCTTGGTTAGGAGGGGAAATCAACCGACGAGGCTGTGAAGTTACATCGATTGAGGTTGTTAGGACACGTGTTACGTATGCCTCGTCATCGCCTTCCTCGACGAGCAATGTCAGCTGACATAAGATCAGGTTGGAAAAGAGCTAGCGGCGGTCAAACCAAAACATGGCTTCACCAGTCAATGAAATCCACAACAGTTAGTTTAAGCCAATCACCTAGGAAGGTGTAGACTTCCTCGGGATGGTAAAAACCAATGAAGACTGGAGACATTTGGTGGTATGACACAAAATCGTTCTCGATGGCTGGAGCAGATGCATCTACTCCTTGTGACGTGAAGTGTAGCAAATCGAACTGCTACACATCTGTACAAAGTTCTACGTTGAAAACACTCAGTCAGTCAGTGTATCTTACGTGTCTACGTAAATATCGGAAAATCGTGTTTATCACTGCTACATTCGAAGCATTCTGTCATCAGTTCAACGTGTGTCGCGTTTCAGTACGACAGCTTGATGTAACTTCACTTTCCTAAAAATAGGCCCTGTAGTGATTTCAGCGGCACAGAGTATTCAAACACAAAGAAATCAGTAGAATGATTGACATTAGAATATCGGCTCACAAGTACAAGTACCCGAAGACTTTCATTTAACAGCCTATATACCTTGCTTATTGTGTGAGATCTGATGATACATACATTCTAGTTACCCAGGCTGAACTAGGCGATGAAGATGTGGAATGTGGGAACAATGAAGTTCTACCGATATCACTGAATTCTGCCATAGTAAGACATACTATATACTGCATGGTCATATGGATGTTATTGCAATGTGGCTTGCTGTCTCAAGCAGTTGATCTACAGTTGGCGCTCGTCAGCCAGTCTAGAATCCAACTCCACTTACCTTAGTGGATTGAGCCTATTAGTCATGGGTACGTGTCGCTGAAGAGTGTCAGAGTAGGATGAAATATGTTTTTCATATACATGTAGTTTGTAGGCCAACATGGAAAAAATATTTATAGATCGAGCCATTTGACAGCAGGTTACGTAGTATACAGTATTCTTCACATAATGTATAGGCCTTATAAAGGTGTGCAAAATCAATACGATTAGGAAGCATCATGTAATAAAGTGAGAAGTTGGGATAAAATAGGGTGTTGTATAATGCGAGAAAAATATTGAATTTAATCAATACAGGGGGATAAATGAAACAAGACCGGAAACTGTTCGTAAGGAAAATAATTTTAACAACAATAGGGGGGAGGCTACATAGATAGAAATTAAACAAAGTGAAAAATAGGTAAATAAACGTTTTAATCCCTTTTTTCAATCCGAAAGCTAAGATTGAACGAGAGAGAAAAAGAGAATACCATACACCCTTTGTCCAGAACACTCCAGCTTCAAATCTAGTCTAGTCAAAGCTTCCGGTATTTTTTAAGTAAAGGTTAGAGGCAAAGCATACACTGATGGTTCGATAGATAGTATTTCATTTTCAGGTATTGGTTTGTAGGGATTTTTGTTTGACTGGGTGGAGGACTTCATCATGAGCTGGCGTCGGTTAGAGTACCATTGGAAAACCTGTAAGAGAGTACTGGACAGCTGTTTCGTCCTAGTTTGGGACTTGGGTACGTACTGATGAAGAGTATGAAACTAAGCTGACGAAACATCTGTCCAGTACTCCCTTACAGGTTTTCCAATGATTCACTAACCGATGTCAGATCGTGATGGAATCTTTGTCGGGAGTAGTTGAAGGATAAAATAGATAAAGTGTTCAAATCTGTCATATGCGTAAATATATTTTTTAATATTATTTCGAGTTTTGAGTGGAACACAGGGAACGATGTTTGAGTCCTGAAGTGGTGGTGTATTTCCGCGGGATAGAGTGCCAGCTCACGCCCAACCTTGCCTCCTTAATGGACTCACCACCGATTGCGCGAGGTTTAGGAATATATATTTCATAGAGTGGCGATTTTTGTTTTCATACATTTATTCCCCTTAATGAATTTGAACAAAGCAACAACTACAGTTTTAGCAGAATAAAATGCTACCATCTTTTATTTCGTTGCCTTCTCGTCGCCTGCTTACAGGTCAAAGACATTATTAAATGTATCTACAAAAACAATTTTAACATACTTGCACAGAGTTCATTTTAAACAAGAATCAGTCGAACAATATACGCATACACTAATAATATATACATATATATGTAATATTAAACACTATTCTGAACAATAATAATCATACACAATGGAATCTTTTCAGCACTACGCATTCAGATGAAAGAGAGATGAAAAATATCCAGGTACCAAGGCAAAGATAGACAGATAACCCCTTCTTTCTGAACGCACAAATCAGGTTTCAGGCGCTTGATGGAAATGGCTTCTGCAAACTTAAGGAGAATTGAGCTCTTTTGCTTATTGATAATTTTGAACGACTTTTCGACGTCCACCTCATGACCGCTGTCAAGGAGATGTCTCGCGATGGCACTGTTTAAAGCATTTGTTCCCTTTAGAGGCAAGCTTTTTGGTACGTGTTCATAAAATCGTAGATATGCCCTTCCTCTTTCTGTTCTCCCACTGTTGTAACTGCTCCCGCAGATACATGTACATTTGTGTATACAGTTGGAGTTAACATGAGAAGGATATCTATCGATTTTTGATTGCACCAGAGAGCAAGTTGTTCGGAAGACGGGAACGAGCTTAGCTGCAGGATAGGCTGTGGCTAGTGATGTGCTCAGCCTTCTGATGATCATCGCTGCAATCTTTTCACCTTTATAATCAAGCTGAATGTAGATTGGCTTTTTTCTTACTGTGATGTTTTTTACATTTTGGACTTCAGATCTTCCATACTTGTTGATGAACCTTTGAGGGTACCCATTGATCTTCAATATCTTTTCAAGTAACTCGAATTCTTCCTCTAATTTCTGTATAGAGCATATTCTCCTTGCTCTATAGTACAGAGTCTTGACTAGTCCGCGTTTAAAGCTATTTGGACAAAAGCTATTAAAATTTAAGTAATGTCCTTTTCATTTAGACTTTCGATAAATTGACTTTTGAAGACTACCGTCTTCTAGGCGTTTCATGGCGATATCGAGGAAGTGAAACTTTCCGTCACTTTCATGTTCCATAGTGAACTCAATATTGGCGTGCGCATCATTGAATTCACTGAAACAGCGATGATTGGTTGGGTGGGTGAAAATTTGACCATCTTCTCAAGTCCTTGAACTTAGGTGTGAATTATGTGTGATAATTTTTATGCCAAAAGAACATTTTGATTATCAGTTCACTATTAATTGAATCATAAAGGCTCGCCTTATATTCTAACGATAAGACATGACTGGTTGAATGTTTAGGCCAGGATGTCATGTCATTCTCACCGATGAAACTGTTTACCGATACTGTATCACGAATTAACATATGCATTATTAGATAAGAAGAACACGATGACAAGAAAATAACGTGCTCTGCTCATAAAAAGGGATATCCCTAACTTCCACCCAATGCAGTGGTCATGCTACAGTTAATTCTTTATAGGTTAAAAGGCCAAAAAATAGAACTGATGGCTGATTATTCGAATATATATATAATACTAGTGACTAACTAAGTGCGTCGGTGGCACAGCGGTTAGGATGCCCGCCGACCATGCACATGGTCCGGGGTTCGATCTCCGGCCACCGACGCACTCCTTTACCTCGCTAAGCCAGAAATAATGCAGGTGAAGAGGAAAGGTTGGGCATGAGGCTAGCAACCCCATCCTGTAGAAATTAAACACTGCTACAGAAACTTCAAGCCACTAGCTTGAAGCCCTATGTTCCACTGGGAACGTGAAGGAAAAAAAAAGAAAAAAAATAGTGACTAGCTTCACTCTAGAACTGAACATGCACTTTGCTCCACAGGAGTAGTCGAGCAGCTGAAGTCGTAAGAGTAAGGTCTTTTTCAGAACTGCTGGTACTTTGGTCTCCCTTGATATTTGATTCATATTCTTATCGATGAAATTCTTTTTTTGTGTAACCGGTTTCATTCAACAAATATTTAATAATATTAACCTCTTCATTAAGACACTCATCAGAGCAGATTGCTATTGCTCTGTGGACCAAACACTTTATTAGATTACTTTTGTATTCCAAAGTCACAAGGCCGAAAAAATGAATATACTGACCGGTTGATGTAGGTTTTCTATATACACTTCCTAATTATTATTATTGTAGCATCTACTTTTCTAGTCATAAAGACGTCTAGGAATGAAGAAATACTAGAGTCTCTTTCTTTCTTGATAGTAAAATTTATTGTAGGATGCACATGGTTAAATTTAATCCAGGATGTTCTTTGCTTCATCCTCATTTTTTAGTAATCCAAAATGTATCATCCGTGTAATGACAGTAGAGCTCTAGTTCATCAGTTACATCTTTCAA